TAATATGTATGCTCAAACAAATATCATCTTCTGTACTTAGAGACCCCAAAAACCAAAGGATCATTCGAAAGAAAGTAATCCCAGCTTAAAAAACGAGGCAAGAGAAATTCTAGGACGTGCTTTCTCGAACAATCACTCAACGCCTTCCGGAAGCTACCGATTCTGTCGAAAAGAGGTACTTCACCCTCGAAAGAACAGAGTCATGTGCAGGATCGTAAGGATGATCCTTTGATGGGATCTCCAAGATTGCAGGGATTGGCTTGTTATAGCTGTCGACAAGAAACCGTATCATATTTGCAACCTAAATCAAACAAAAAATGCACAAGAGTTTCAACGAGGTATTCTCCATCTCTATGGTACATACAATTCACTAATTCAGGGATACCTTAATTTTGAAAAAATAATGATAAAAAATGGCAAACAAAATTGTTATATTTCAGAACTGCGAAAACATCCCATTCGAGCACCAAAAAAAAAATGTGAAAACTTACAAATTGGCTGATCAGCAAGACTGCAATGTCTTCTCTTGTTGTGAATTCTTTGAATGCATCTTCAATCTGCTTCACCGTGGTTTCTAAACCAAAAAAAATAAAAAAAATAAAAAAATAATCAAATGAGCCAGAGGCAAGAAATTGCATCATCTCCGACCTGATCACTTTAATCGACAGATATTTTTCACAATAGATTCAATGAAAGCGAACTAAATCTTGTCCAGTCCGGTCCATTTTCTGGATCTAAAGTAGGATCCAAGTGGCCAGCCTAAAGAAATTTCATATGATAAGAGTAGAATTACTTCAACATAAATGTATGACCACAAAATTATCAAATATCAACAAGATCGTATTTTTACAAATCCATGTTCTAACATATGAAACGGGATTTTTTTTTTACAAATTTATGCTCCAACATATGAAACAGATATGTTCAAGAAATAGGGGCATTTCGTACTTGAGTCGACAATGAGATAATTTGTTTTCCTCCTCAAATCAACATTACCAACTCCAGCTAGCAAAAATCCAGTGATAGTGTCCTACACGATCATTTGCATCGTTAGTGAAAATTACCGATTTCATTTCAAGTTAATCGTTCATATTGATGAATATTAAACACATTCGTCTGCATCTTTTAGGAACTTTTCTCTACAGAATTCAATCAATAATCACCCATCTACCTGATCTTTTCTAATAAGAACTTTAAATAACTAAAATCACATAAAAAAAGCAACAAATAATATAATAGCGAATCAAGTTAAACAGAAAAGTACATCAACAACCATATAAAGCGTGAAAAAATGGAGAAGAAAAAAA